CAGCCGACAGAAAAACAATCGAGTTGGAACAAAACCAGCGTAAATCGTTAGCGTGCTGCAAATGTCTGTAGAAACAGAAGCCGCCACATCCAGCAGGTCTTCAGTCACTCATGCTGAGTGTTGTCTCAACAGCCGCTCCAGTCAATCTAAAGATCAGATTTCTGGTCGCCACAACACAATTTGGTTTTCAGCGAGCAGCTTTCAGAGGAGTCCTTCCCCCGTCTCTGTTCATTTACTCTCCGTCTCCCCCCTACAACCTAAAAATCACATCTTCCTCCAGACCTTCACCTGTCTGCTTTCATCAGGGGACGCTCCTCACCTGGAAGGACAGTCACCTGGGAGAAGAAGAAGAAGACGACGAGGAGGACGACTGCTGCTGCTGCTGCGATTCGTACAAATTCAAAGCAGCTGAATTTACAAGAACACACGAAGCATCGGTTTATAAAAAACACAACAACTATGAATCACTGTCAAGAGCTCGTAGGAGGTTTTTTTTTGGCGTACGATGAGAACGGCGTCTAAAATAAACCTCCTCACACTCACAGGAAGGTAAACAATCAGGAGACACTATCAGAGCTGCAGCTAACGTCTTATCAACGAGCTGATGACTCCCACAGAGGAACAAATACCTCAAAGTCCTGAACCAGAGCAGAGATAAAACCATCGAGCCCCTTTCAGACGTCTTTTCTGTCAATCTGAGGGCGTCGGACCCACACATGTTTCTGGATCACGCTAACGGTTAGCATGCAGGTTCAACAGGAGCCAGACGGTAAAACCAAAGAGATGAAGGAGAACTTCTGTTGACTTGACAGTGAAACAGCATCCTGACAGCCGTAAAGCCTGACCGACCCCGACCCCGACCCCGACCCCGACCTGTCAGATGAGTGGTTCAAGGACTGTTGGAAAGTTCAGACTCCCACAATTCTCTCTGGTTTTTTAAGCAACTTTTTAAAGACAATCCCTCGTCTTGGAGTTCAGAGGGTTTACTGTGAACCCCGGTCCTGACGACCCTGTCCTCTATAAGCTTGTCGTCACATTAGCTTTCGTCTTCATCTCCTTGAACTGCTCGTGTTTGGTTGATGTGTCTGGATGAAGCCGTGAAGAATATTAACGTGAAACTAAGACTCACGTCCGAATGTCGTCACCTCAACGGGCCGATGGAGCAGAAAAGGAACGGATACAACGGCCAAAGACTCTGTAGGGAATCTGTCAAAACCTGTGAACCATCTTTTAAAACATCTGAAACATACTGGTGCCTAAATGTAGTGATACGATGAAGTCCTGGGTTGAGATTTCACTGGAATCCCTGTTTGACTGAACGCTGTGTGCAACACTCAGAGGTGTGAATACGTGAGTGAAAGACGTGGTGTCGGTGTGAACCCACTCACCCTGGGCTGCCAGTTCTCGTACTGCTTCTGCAGGTTTGCCCCGATGGTCTCCAGGGCCTTCTGTGGACTCATGGACAGAGGATCTGTTCAGGCAAACACAAGAACGTAAACCGTCAGTCAAAACAGTCCAAACTGAGCAAAAACCCGACACAAAGTCGACCCGGAGCCGACCAACCGGACGTATAATCACCAAGACGTGTCGTGTGTGCACAAACGAGTCGCGGTTTATTGTTTCGGCATCAAAAGAATGTTGTTTTTATTTTATTAAATCAGAAGCAGGTTCTGGAAAAACAGCAGCAGCCCCTCAAGTTGAAATATTGATGAGAGTAAATCAATACGGCATGAAGAATAGCAGAATATAGATGGAGGACGGATCAAATTGTGCTCGGCCGGCAGAGAGGAATGTATCGGCGGGTTAGCGGGAAACGCTGATACGGAAAGATCCGACGAACGAGGCCGCGATTGATGAATCGAATTTAAACTGAAAAATGTGATTTAATACTTCGTTTAACGACTTTAAGGATTTAAAGTTTTGAACCATTTTAACCAAAACACAACATGCAGTCGTTTCTTCACCTTTATAAAAACTGTTCACATCCTCTTTGCAAGTTTTCCCCTTTTGTTGCTTTTAAAAATTGAATCATGGCTTCAACTTAAATTTGGCTTTTATTGACAATTTACCTCAAAAAGACTCTCTGGTAAACAAATCTTCCCTCAAGTCACTGCTGCTGAGAAACATCCCCATGATGCTGCCACCACCGTGCTTCATCATGACGCCACCACCATGCTTCATCATGATGATGCCACCACCGTGCTTCGCTGTGGGGTTGGTGTTGGCCAAAAGGGGCAATTGTGGACTCATCAGACCAAAGAACCTTCTTCCAGAAATTTAATATGAGCCTTTCTTTTTTCCAACAGCGTGTCTCTTTGCCTCTTTCTCACATAAAGCTTTGGCTTTTGAAGAACAGGCAGCAGATGCTGTATGAACAAAAAGTTAACTTGACCAGGATTCAATGTTGAAAAGCAATAAAAAGGAGAAAACCTTCCAGAGTGGTGTGAATGCGTCGTACAGACCCTGTAATGCTTCTGTTTACCTTCTGTGAACATGTCACCGCTTCCTGCTGTGGCGCAAACTGAGAAGAAGTTTATGAGGAAAGTTTTGAAACCAGCACACACACAGTGGGCACTGAAGCCCAGACGTGAACCTTTCACCTGTGTGTGGCTCAAGGATGTCTCTGAGACTAAACAACTGTTGTTGGAGCATCACTTAATATTCTCAAACACCGTCTCAAAGACCAGGCGGCAGGTCTGCAGCGTCCTCAGAAGCTGCTGAGAAACTTTCAGGAGACTTTCAGAGCTCTGCTCCGTCTTTAATGTGCCTTCCTGACTCCTAGCAGTGAAGCAGGTCTCCAGGGAGCTGAGGTTCCCATTCAATGGAGATGGTTCCCTTTGTTTTTGTCCTGTGTGGTTCTTGTGGGGACAGACGGCTCCATCCCGACGTGACTGAGGCCTGTGAAGCTCCCGTGGGAGAAAACATCCCTAAATGCTGCAGAGCAAAGTTTCTCCGCTGAGTAAAGTCGCTCTGCGCGGTACGACACAAATGAGCTGTTTGCATATTTGCAGCTTTACCAAACGAGGATAAGAATCTACAGGAATGCTGGCGGTTTGGGGATCTTCTGCTAAAACGCTGCTATTTAGAGCATGTTAGCATGACGACTTAAAAACGTGACCTCGTGACGCCTCAACCGATGAGTCTGATGTTGAGTGTTTTGGGCAGCTAGCGGCCAACGTGGACGCCAACAGCATGGTGGTGGTTTTCAGCAGCTACAGGATGGAAAGGTTTGGCCACACATCAACGGATGGAAAGTTATGAGGAACAAAATGCTAGCTTAGGCTAACAGCTAGACTTGCTTTCTGACCCACAACCATTCCCAAAGACCGATTTATTAAATATACGGTTGATCAAAACGTCACCAGACTGCGAACATACAAATCAAAAACTGGGTCCGATTTAAATCTGGTTTAAATCTATTATTATTTAAATGAAAGTGTTTCCGTGGTGCAGCGACACTTTGCTCCCAGAGCTCCTGCAACAGTCGTTACGCCACCTGGAGGTCTCGTTATCCGTGATTAACCTGCGTCCAAAAAAAACCCGACCCTTCAACTTGAATTTCATTTTGGGGACGAGGAGGAAGTCACCGGGAGACAGATTCAACATTTCTCCCATTACTTGTTATTTAACAAGTACTATTTGGGTGGAATAAACCTTAAAAACTACAAAAACCTGGAGCGAAAGAAGCTGTTTGGGTGGAATAAACTTATAATATTCTACGTGTTTGAAAGGAAAATAGTATTATGGGTGGAATGAACCTTTAAAACTATTAGTGCTTGAACAGAAAGTAATATTTTGGGTGGAAAGAAACCAATGAAATTATAATTACTTGGACAGAAAGTAGTAATTTAGGTGAAATACACCTTGAAAACTATAAATACTGGGACAGGAAGTCGTATTTATGGAGGAATAAACCTTTAAATCCATAGCGTGTTCGTCATTTGGGTGGAACCGCCGTGCTTCATCATGATGCTGCTAATAGATTTTCTCCAGTAAATTCCTGAGAAAATCTTTTTATCTTTACAAATTCACAAGTCTATTAGGACCATCTCTTGACATGTGTGGCGGTTTGCTGGTTCACTCACCGATCCAACACTCGAGTCGGGCGCAGGGCGACGTCTTGACCACGTCCGGGGGGTCGACTCCCACGTTGAGGCACAACACCAGGGCGACGCTCACCGTCTTCATCTGTCGGAGACACACCCAACACAACATCATTAAAAACAAGAAAGCACATTAAATGTTCCATTAGACGAACCGGGCCGAGCGACGGCGTTCAGGTCCGTCCGGGGAGTTTTTCCCGTAAACGCAGGTTAAGTGTTTCAGTCGGGGGAAACCCTTCAGCAGCTCCACAGAAGGAGACGTTCACTTTCCCTCCACAGATTCCAGGAACATTAAATCCAATCATGGACTTCAGTCAGTGTTGATACTTACTGATCGTATTCAGTGGCTGGCCTGGTTCTTTTCCATTTACCTGCTTGTTATTATGACTATTTTTGCTGTTATGCTATATTTAATACTTGTTTTTATCGTAAAACACCAGCAGCTTTTCCTTTACGGTATCGTGCTGGAAGTGAGATCATCAGCTTGAAAGCCATGTTATCTTAAAAAAAAAAAAAATTTTTTAAATTATCATCAGATGTTTAACGATCTTTGAACTAATCAGGTGTGATTGTGGGTGGTGTTGTGGAACATTAACCAAATCTGAGCCTGAAATCAACATATTTCATTAAAATCACTGAAAACAAACTGTTTGCATGAACCACATTCTGTAAAAAACAAATTCTGCACTGGTCACACGACAGAAATTTGGCACATTTTCGGCTGAACTCCGGGCTGTGTACACAGAATCAAATAAAGTAGTAAAATGTTTTTAGGATGTGGAGCCTCCAGTTTTTGTTGCTGGCACTTGGAAAAATGTTCTTTATGTTTTTTTGCAATTTTTGTGAAATAAACAATCAAAGAAATTCAACTTTCAATTTCATTTCTTGAAATAAATTATAAAAAACAAATTAAAAGTGGAAATAAAAGAAGAATAAATTAAATAAAAAATAAGTATCGTGGCAATATCAATCAAAAATGAATCCATAAAAGAAAAAGCAAATACAAGCAGAAATATAAAGACAAATATAAAAAAAAAAAAATAAAAAAAATTATTAGTTTTTTTACAATTTATTTATTGATATTTTTTTCAATTATTTTAATTTTAATTTATTTTAATTTTTTTATAATGTCGCTTGAAAAGCAACATCATAAAATAATAATAATAAATAAATAAATAAAAATGAAATAAAATAATAAAAAAAATACATTTAAAAAATACTAAAAATAAATAATTTTAAAAAATATTTTTTTAAAATATGAATAATAATAAAATAATAACAATAAAATAAAAAAACATAAAAAACAATCTACTTTTTTAAAATTAAAATTTAAAAAATAAATGATCTAAATTTTAAAATAAATATAAATAATTATTATTATTTTATTTTATTTATTTGTCTTTATATTTCAACTTTTATTTGCCTTTTTAATATCGCTTTATATTGCCACATTACTTACTGTTTATTTTATTTATTCTTCTTTCTATTTCCACTTTTATTTGATTATTCTTTTATTGATCTCTTTTTGTAATTTGGCGCTCCCACTCCTCCATAGCAGAGGCTGTCTCCGGTATAAATAAAAGCTGGAATAAGAAACAGCCCATCAGGTGAGAAAGCCCAACGCAGAGCAACAGGCGGCGGACGCTGAACCACCATTGATCCATGAGCCGGGCGGCCAGTCCTGACAAACACTAACACGCCGGCTCGATCAGGCCTCCTCCGGTCCAAATTAAACACTGCAGCAGCGGCGAGAAATCACTCCTCCTTCCCCTCAGCGCCTCAGAAACACTTTCCTTTGTGTGCCGGGCTCTGTGACACGTCGCGGCCTCGTGCTGCAGCTGTAATGAGCCTGAACTGGGATCTCCAAGGACTCACGCTGACAAAAACCCGACGATTGGCGGCACAAACTCCTCACATCACCGCAGCAGCGCTGCTACAGTCTGCAGCTGCATCCATCAGGCCTGAAGACAACTTCTCCATCACCACGAATCTCAGCACAAATCTGACCAGATCCTGCACCAGAGAGGCTCAGTTTATGTCGCTAACAACGCCGTCATATGCAAACAGATACTGACCCACACGAGGCCTCACATACCTTGTAAATAAGAACTAAACTAAAAATCGTACTTTAGATGAAATACTTGAACAGAAACTCGTATTTTGGGCGTAATAAACCGTTAAACCTCTACATACTTGTACAGAAAGTAGTTTTTCTCATGAAATAATCTCATAAAACCATCATTTGTTAGTTGGACAGTACTATTTGGGTGGAAAAACCTTTAAAACTATGTGCTTGGACAGAAAGTAGTATTTTACATGAAATACAGAAAATCGTATTTTTGGTTGAAATAAGCCTTTAAATTTACAAGTATCTGGGCATAAACTAGTAGTTTGGGTGGGAAAAAAGCCAAAAGTAGAATCTTTTGGGTGAAATAAACCCTTAAAACTAGAAGTACTGAGACAGAAAGTAGTACTTCGAATGTAATAAACCTTTAAATCCGTAATTTGTTGGTTAGAAAGTACTATTTGGGTGGGGAAAAAAATCTTTAAAACTGGAAGTACTTGAACAGAAAGTAGTATTTCAAATGGAATAATCCCCTAAACCTATAATTTCTTAGTTAGAAAGTACTATTTGGGTGGAATAAACCATTAAAACTATACATACGTGGACAGAAAGTTGCTTCTGTTGGGTAAAATAAACCGTTAAAAATGTAAGTACCTGGAGAGAAACTAGTATTTTAGGTGGAAGAAAAACCCTCAAACTGGAAGTACTTTAGTGGACAGCAGTGTTTTGGTTGGAATGAACCTTCAAAACAAGCACTTGGACAGGAAGTTGTTTTTTTTTGGGTAGAACAATCCTTTAAAACCATCAGAAAACCACTTCTGGATGATTTATCGACTTCACAGGATGCCTTAATGTTCCTCTACATGAGCTGAAGATGTTTAGAACCTGGATCCAGTCTCTGAAGACGTCAATAAAACTCTGATTTTAACTCTAGTTTCTACGACAAACACCTGAACAGGAAAAGCCGACGGTGGATCCTTCACTGCTTCATTAACGAGGACTTTAACCCGTCAAGCGTCTGTTTTTCCTCCCGAGGTGACGAAACGTCGAAACGGAGACGAAAGAAATCAATGCTGAGCTCTGACCGGGTTATTATTTAGTTCTGTCGTCCGTTAATAATCTGTCACGATCGGTCATGTTTATGGACATATCAGAGGATAAGAAGAATCTGCACTGTAAAAAAAATACATGAAAACTAGTCTAATACTATTATGTTGAAAACTGTAAAATAAACAAAATAAATTATTATTTATTTATTTATTTTACAATACATCTAAAGAGTAAAATTAACACATTACTATTTATATAAAATAAAAAGCTGCTCCGTTTATTTTACTCGATGTTTTCACCAATTTAACAAAACAAGTCAGATCTGTAAATGTGAGGAAAAAAAAAAAAAAACCTGTAGATTTTTGATGTGGACAATATTTAGAATATTTGTTTATGACTTTACTAGTTTACTAGTTAATATCTGTAATTTAACAGTTTGAACAATTACCAGTTATTTTACTTTTTTCCAGTTTTGCTAAAATTTAAAACACGTTATTATTTTAAAGCCTCACAGTTAAAACTCTTGCAGTAGTTTTAAGTTACATTCCTGCTTTATTTGAGCTGTTTTATTCATATTGCAGTATGTTTTCCAGCCACAGAGGAAACTCTCCAGAATAAACCCTTAAAAAGCTTTTCCTGTCGCCGCCTGACTGAAGCTGAATCTCCATATTTTCTGCACAAAAAAAGGAACAGACTCAGTCTGCATTAATTATGCAGCTGTGGTGAATCCTCCTGCAGGCGAAATGGAAATTCTAGAAACCTGTTCAGTCGGTCGGTGGGATGACGGAGCCTCAGCCGGCAGGAAACCTCAGAGTTCTGCTTGTTAGGAAGCTGTGAAGTTCTGAAGAAAACGACGCGTCTGTCAAGTGGTGACAACAGCGTCCAAACCGTCCAACACCGTCCAACACCGTCCAACACCATCCAACACCCTCCAAACCGTCCAACACCGCCCAACACTGTCCAACACCGTCCAACCATCCCACACCGTCTAAACCGTCCAACACCGTCTAAACCGTCCAAACCGTCCAACACCGTCTAAACCGTCCAACACCGTCCAAACCGTCCAAACCGTCCAACACCGTCCAAACCATTCAACACTGTCCAGCCATCCAACACCACCGAACGCCGTCAAAACCATCCAACCGACCAACACCATCTAAACCGTCCATCTTCAAGATCGACGCTTGTGAAGCTGCAGAATCCTAATTTAAAGCAAAACCCTGGAGCTTCCTGACAACAGTCGACTCTAAGCTTAGATCTGGTGTTTTTTCATAATACGTTTATTAGGAGGCTGATGCTTTAATTAGACATTTGGAATAAAGTCGTGTTTTTATTAAACATGACGGAGCATTTTCAGGGTTCAGCGGATCAACGTAGTGAGAAATGTGTCTTTTTAAAGAACACAACGGTGCTGTAGTGGTGCTTCAGTGTGTTCTAGTGTGTTCTGGTGTGTTCTGGTTTGTCGTACTTTAAAAGTTTAACGAGGAATAGAAGATTCTCGGGTAACTTCTCCATCTCTGTGCGGCTCCTGGACTCAGCAGGACCTTGTTAAAGCGTCCGACCCGAGTCGTGAATCAAAGCCAGACAGAACTCGAGTGCCCGAGTGTCCTCTCGGTTCCAATTAGCGGCGGATGAACCACCTGCAGCTTCCCGCTGAGCCACCGTTCTGCTGGAATCGGGTCAGGCGGCGCCGCTGGAGCCTCGTCTGCTCTCGTTTAGCAAAGAAAAGGTTTTTATGTGAAGCATCACCTGTAATTAAATATTACTGTACGTGTTTTGTAGCTTTAAAAGCATCCTGACACGGGGCGGTGCTCCTCTTCTAGTGTTTTATTGTTTTTATAGCTAATGTTTGGTTGCTTTTATGTCATTTAGTTGCATTATTTTAAGTTTTATTGTCGTTTTCTAATGTTTTACTGTCTTTTGGGGTTTTTTATGTTTAATGTTTAACTGCTTTTGCTCATGTTTTATTG